AATTACAGCTAGATATGAGTGATATGTTCTAGTGTTCTGTACCACTGTGAGATGACCATATTTAACAATAATATGTACTTTCAAATAGTTAAAAGGAAGCTATTGAATGTTCCCAACACAAAGAAATGATAAATATTAGAGATGATGGATATGCTGAGTACCATGATCTGATCTATATATTACGTGTATCAAAACATCAGTATGTATCCCATGAATATGTATAATACAATTATTATTTATCAATTAAAAAATAAAACTGAAACTCTCAATTGACCTCTAAAATATAAATAAAATGTAGAACTGGGTATAAATTCAATCTAATAGTCATATATTAGCAGTTTTATGGGACATTATTTCAATTTATGGAAACAGGAATTATCAATATATCTGACAGAGGCAGAAAAGAGTAGTGGTTTGGAACTTGGAATCTGGAGTCAGATACTAAAGTTTTTTTGTTGTTTTTTTTTTTGCTTTTTTTCCCAAAATTTTTGTAGAGATAAGAGTCTCTCACTATGTTGCCCAGGCTAGTCTCAAAATCCTGGCCTCAAGTAATCCTCCCACCTCCACCTCCCATAGTGCTGGGATTACAGGCAGGCAACACCATGCTCAGCCAATATAGCATTATTTTTACCTCTGCCATTTACTGTATACGCACTGAGTGACTTACTAATCCATTTGGGCTTCAATTTCCTCATCAAAAATAGGAAAGAAAATAACAGTACCAGTACCTGTATCCCAGACTATTGTTATAATTAACAAGGAATGAATACATATAAAATGCTTAAAATAGTGCTGGAGTCATAGAACATGCTGTTTGAGGGTTAGCTTTTGTTATTGATTTTGAGTTGACACATTGGCATGATTATATCACTCTAAAGTATACATTTTTCCTTAGGGACTAAGCGGCCTTTATCAGTGGATAGCCATTTTTTCGTTCATTAAACATTAAACTTAAATGGCTACATACTGTATGATACCACTTATATAATATTCTCCAAATGATAACATAAATTGCTTGTCAGACGTTACAGACTTGGCATAGGAGGCTATGACGGGGGTAATACAGGCCAGGTGTGGTGGCTCACACCTGTAATCCTTACATTCTGGAAGGCTGAGGTAGGAGGGAGGATTGCTTGAGGTCAGGAGTTTGAGACCAGCCTGAGCAAGAGTGAGACCCCCATCTCTACTAAAAATAGAAAAAAATAGCCAGGTGTGGTGACACGCACCTGTAGTCCCAGCTACTCGGGTGGATAAGGCAGGAGGATTGCTTAAGCCCAGGAGTTTGAGGTTGCTGTGAGCTAGGCTGACGCCACAGCACTCTACTCAGGGCAACAGAGTGAGACTCTGTCTCAAAATAAATAAATAAATAAAGGAATAACTCAAGGGAGGGAGCTTCTTTGTCATGGTGGAACAGTTCTATGTCTTGATTGTCATGGTGCTTATACACATCAATACATGTGATAAAATTGCATACAACTATATATATACAGACATGCATGTGCTTTTGCACACACATACACACAC